AAACAATCCGCATCCACATTCGTATCCGCCCAATATCCGCTCCGCTCCAAATCCGCAAAAATAAAATGGATTAGGATGTGGGAAAGGCATTATCCGCACCGCACCGCACCGTTTTCATCCCTATGTGTCATGCAATAACTGCACATTAAACATGTGTCAATACATAAAGTTATGGAGCGACTCAATAAGGAAATTATCCGATTACTCTATAGAATTTTTGTGAACCTGAGGACATGATTGTTTTGTAACATATTTGTCCTTGTCATCAAATAATTTTTTTTAAATCAAAATATAACTCAAATTTATCTCGGCTCAATCACAATCAATAATATCAATATAATTAAATAATATCAATTAATTATTCTCAAACATTACATCAATTTAATTTACTTTCATCAACTCACATAATTGTAAGCATCCTTACTTCCAATCATCAATTTAATTCACTATTCACTCACTCACGTCATTTTAATTATCCATCATTTTCAATCATCTTTCTTCTACTTATACACCAAATCAACTTTTAATCATTATATTTTAAAATATCACTTTAATACAAACTCAAAATTCAATTAAACCAAACCTAATCAATTTTTCCAAAAATTAACTATAACTAACCAACAAATCCACTAAAGGGCGTAGCCCTAAAAACCAAGTCGGAAAGAATATCTCGAATGAGCCTGATATTTAGTTTTTGGTCAAGTTACTAAAAAATATATGGTGTAGTAAGGCAGAAAAGAGTGTCATGCTTACTATTGTTGCTCATGTCTCCAAAAGTTGCAGTGTAAAAACTAAAAAGCAAATCTCAGATTCTCAATTGATCTCTAGTTCTCAACAATGAATGAAACAGCTGGTGCATTCTTAATCAGAACATGTGTAGCATGTAGCAACTATCATTGCATTAATCAGAATACACACACACACACACACACACATATATATATATATAGCACGAAACAGGAGACCTGCTAACTCAAATGTTTGACTCAAGCTCAACACTGATAAAATTGACCACAGGAGAGTATATTTCTTGGAACCAAAACCGAAACTATGTATTGATAAATCATATATGGGGGTCTCATGTATGGAAGAACACCTTGTGGCCACAGGTGTAGAAGTACAACATTTCTTTCAAATCAAAATTTCACTATCGGGACAAAATTTGAATGACGATTTAGCACAATGTTTTTACCAGCTACTTAATTGCTTTTGGATCTTCGAATTATGAGATGACCTCCCGCCTTTGTCCTTGTAAGTATTTCTGGAGGTGATAACCTTTCTCCTCCCACGGGCCGCTTGAATGGCCCGTTGGCATTGTTTGCTTAGACGCTTGTCAAGTTCAAGGTCATTTTCTTCTCCTGGCTCATCTCCAGGCCCAGGCCAGACCCAGCTTGTATGTCATCCTGGGCATTATTATCCTCATGTTCGAACTTTTTTGTTTTTCAGGGGCTCGGGCCCAATTTGACTACATTCTTTGGAGGTATTATTTCTTGTATATGATACTCGTTGGATGCTTACAGTAAATTACCTCCTTCATGTGAGCAAAATTAAAGAGAAGAAGAATTACGCAACAAATGTTTGTTATATGCGAAGAACAATAGATAAGTAAGTGGTTTTATCAAAGAAGCCATTATGGGTTGCTCTCGATCATGGAATATTTCAATATTATGTGGAAAGATTGTGTAAAAGTTCAAGATGTATTGTTGTGATGTGATTGAAAATATGAAAAACATAATTGTGATGTGATTGAAAATATAGAAAACATATTACAATAAATATTCATTGAAAGCGAAAAATTTAAAAGGTTCGAGTCTCAAAATAATAAAAAAGATGTGAAAACTTTTAACCT